CCTATGGGTAAGAGCATCTCTTCTAAACAATGGAACAGATGTGTTCAATTCATCATTCTAACTCTGAAAGAGAAAGAACCTGTTTTAAAGAAAGCATGAAATTATCATGAAGGGAAGGATTTACACTGAAATTTAGAGAATAGAAGACCTTGAAGACCTAAGAAATACTGTGGTTGATGGTTTACATAGAAGAAAAAAGCAAATTATGAAAATAGATGGGAGGATTTTTTTGCCTAAATAATTCATTGGATGTTACTGTAGGATTATATGCTTTTTTAAAATTCAATAAATGTGAGAAAGCAGCCTGTTTCCATACCGAAAATTGTGTTCTAGAATAAAGCACTTGATTTTTTAGTATCAATAAAATAGTATTTTAGTTCTACTCTTATGACTAAAATATTTATCTGTGGAGAACTAGAGGTAGGTATTAATTTGTCATTATCAAGTGCCATTCTAATTTCTGTCTTGAGAAACTGTCTTACATCCAGGAAAAGAATTATAAACAACAAAATGTGTCATAGGCTGATAGTTATCCTCCTTTCAAACTTATTAGATAATTCAATGAATATTTCCTCAATATTTCCCTACCACTAACATTTATTATAAAATATATAACACCATGCAACAATTATAAAAGTAGCATATACTATATTGATTTTAAAATTAAAATATGATAAGATCCAAAATTCAGATATACGAATTAAATTTAAGGTAAAAATACAATAATAAAAATTTATGTATTTAAAAGTGACACAATTAAAATCATTTGCAGTTGACAAAGAAAAATATTAACTTATAGACTGCAATACATAATTTTAGCTTTGCCTTGTGGAGAAGAAAAGGTAGTGTTTCTTTTTACATTATTTTTACAAATATTGTAAGTAAATTTAAGTAATATGGTAACATTAATTAAAATATTCTGTGTAGAAATTTACTGTGTTCGAAAGCAATGATCCAAAGACTTCTAAATCTCAACTTAAAAGTTCTCTGTTGATAGTGGAGAAGATACTAGTTTGTATCTGTGGAAAATTACTTCTTCAGTGTGAGCTTGCAGAGTTAATATTGCCCTTACTGTTTATTTTCCTTTTTCAGAGATTATTCCCCACTTCCTATTTGTCCTGTAAGAAAAACATGAAATTATTCAGTGATTCACAAACTGTGTAGTAGAAATTGTGCTATTACTACGTGTTATTTCCAGTCCCAGAACACACAATTCAGAGGTATAAATCATTTTGAGGTTTCCTTTGGTAACAGACTGTTTCATTTTGAGCCTTACAAAAATATTCTGCAAGATTTCAGAATGGCACAACAAACATCCTTATAATAGAACCTGAATGAAGAAAACAAATAGGTCATGTGTCTTCATTTGCCAGTTTAGTCAATTGGCTACACTACTGGCTTCAACCCGAAACAATTAGTGGTATGTGACTACACACAGTGCTGAGACTATGCTGCTTTTGTTCACCTGGGAGAAAAGTGTTGATTACATGCTTTAGCGTATGCTTTTGGCCACCATGGCAGTAGGCAAATCAAAGTACCCATCAGGATATTTTTCATGAAAGCCATTTATAGAGCAGAATGTGCAAGAACTGGTGATTTTTGCATAGCTATCAGAGACACAATGAAGTTAGTTTGATTTGAGGCTTCACCAGTTGTGCAAGATGGAACTATCTTCTGTTTAGGTGATGTACTTGGACAGTTTGGTGACAGCTATGATAAATTTGATATCCCCATGAGATTTATGATGCTCTTAAATCAGAGTGGCAGCAGGAAAGGATGGACATTTTGTAACTCTGCAATGATATCTGGAGGGTTAGAAGGGAAAACATGTGGTCTATTAAAATTCCACTTAAAGGAAAACGGATTTCTAAGTAGCTCAGCTTGCAGAGCATTGCTCTGATCTTTGAAACACTCAGAATTTTGTCATTATGGTGATAAAGCCACTCAGCCATTCTCATTCAAAATGCTGGGTCCTTTCACCTCAGGGAATACACAACCGAATTTAACTGAGTAAGGAGTGAAGCATTATATAGAGCCGCCCACTGAACTGAATTCTACATTGCTATGTTCAGTTATAGTTGCTCAGATCTCAATCTCTCTCTCACTCATTCTCTCCTTCCTTCCTGCCTCCTCCTACTCATCTCTGTCTCCCTATCTACTTGTAACTAGTATATAATACCTAAGTGACATAGTGAACAAAAAATATTAAAAAGAACCCAGTAATTATGGAATAACTAATATATTTATAGTAATCACAATATCAACACAATACCAGTCATTGTATCTGAAGGTTTACTATGTAAGGAATTTATATTTACCCTCTCTAAGGACAAATAATATGTTTTATCTATTCTGAAAGAAAATCTGAGTCAGAATAGAAATAGCAATTTAATTTTGTTACAATAGAAGACAAATTAATTTCATATATAACTTTGAATCTGATGATAGCTTGGTGCATGCATGAAAAACAAAGATTGAATGTTCATTTAATTTTCTTTATTTGCCTCAGTAACAACTATTCAGGAATATTGTATTGCTATTTTAAAACATAGTATGTAGGCAAGAGATATCCATTTATTGGGTAGAAATATATTAAATTTGCAGTACCCTCATTCCACATCATTTATTTTAAATATGATTTTATTCTATGTATAACATGTTAATCCAGTGTTTGTCTGCTTCCTTTCTGATTCAATAGCAGAGTGCAGGGCCAGAAACTGCCAGATGTTTTGGCTTGTTTTGTCTTTTCTTTTTGGTGATGGAAATCAAACCTAAGTTCTGGTGCCTGGTAGGTGAGCACTCTACCAATGAGCTATATCTACATACAACCATGCTTTTGTTTTGCTTTGGTTCGTTTTAAATCACTAGACCAATAGCCACGTAAGTTAAATACTTGAATTTGTAGAATAGAATTTAAATCTATTAATAATTGTTATTTAGTTAAGAATTGGAATAATGTCAAGTATGGCATTCATATTACAGATTTTATAAAGATTAAAAATAAGGCTTTCTCATATAAGTAAATAAGTAAAATTCTCTAGAATTTTCATATTAAATAATCTTAATCAATATTATTCAGATTAAACTCATTTGTTGTATATGTGGTTTTTGCTTATTCTAGAAGAAAATGTAACACAAATATTAATGTAGAAGCAAACAAATTACTTCTTTATCATATGAATATATTGTTACAAAAATATTAGTAAAAACACAATGAGCCCTGTTAATTCAAACTGTAAAAGTACTTTGTTATTGCTCAGAAATAAGACAACTTAAAGAAAATGAAAAAATATCATTGATATGAAACTAAATTAATGAATATATAGTTTATTTTAAGATCTCTCACAAATACCAAATGATAGAATTGTCATAAATTCATTCTGTAAGAAAAATATCTATTAGAAGACTACATTATCTAAATATTTGTCTAAATTTTGTAAATTGACTCAAAGCAGAAGTGAATTTAATGGAATGTGTGGTCTTTAGTCATCAATAATTTGATTTTTTAAAGTGAAGTTAGCAGGAAAGTTCTATGTAGGACCATCAACCAAACATGAAGAAATTAGACTGCCTCCTACAAACTAGTTATATAGAATAATTTAGAGAGCTTAAATATTTTACAGTATAAATTAATTTTCATGACAAAGATTTGTTTGACTATGGTTAAACTCTCTAACTCTTTGAATCTTACATATATACACACAGCTGTTTAATAGCATATAATCATTTAAAATAAGTGGTAGATCTTGAAAATAAACATTATTATGATCCCTTTCTTTGATTATAGTATTGATGTAAATTACTTATGTGATCTTAATCTTTTGAATAAGCACAAACTATTTCCTTAAAGTTGTTAGTTTAAATTCAAATCAATAGTTAATGTGGAGAATAATACACACTGGTTAAATTATATGGAACTGGTTAAATTATTTGATAACAAAACTTTGAGAATAATACACACTGGTTAAATTATATGGAACTGGTTAAATTATTTGATAACAAAACTTTAAGTAGATGGTAATGACATGAAGAAATTTCCATTTTCTTAAGGCATATACACAAAGACTATCTGAAAAAGTCAATTCTTAAATTTATGTGGAAAGCATGTTCTCCGAATATAGTCAGTGTATTTTCTTCCCAATTTAACACATATTAATTGAGCATGCAGGAAACCGGGTTCTGTTCTAGGCATTTTGCTTCTGCCAGTGAATGGAAATTCACAAATGCTGATGGAGGCCAGGCAACAGTAGTTCAGGCCTGTGATCCCCGGTGCTCAGCAGTCTGAGATGAGAGGATCACAGTTCCAAGTAAGCCTGGGCAGTAGACTGTGACACTCTTGTTTCATATCAACCCCCAGAAAACCTGAAGTGGCACTGTGGCTCAAAGTGGTACAGTGCTAACCTTCAGCAAAAAGGCTTAAGAACAGTGCTCAGGCCCTGAGTTCAACTCCACAACAGACTTAAAAAAAAAACAAAAAGAAAATTTCTGGTAGAGAATGACAAGTAACAACAAACATGATGCATTTGTGTTTAGTGCTTATTTGATGAGTTTTTGATGCTTATTGTTTATTACGATACAAAAATGTAAAAAGATTAGCAAAAAATAAAAGCGAAAGAGAAAAGACTAGGAAATTTAGAATAAGAATGGCAATATTACTTAATGTGTTTCTTTGTGGTTGTATAGAAGAAACTCAGTTGTTCACAAAACTAAACAACTGAATGTTAACCTCACCAAACGTAAATTCAAATTTTAAATACCAAGAAGGAAAAAGTTGTATAAAAAAGACAGTGAACAAAAAACTGAATTAAAACTATGAGGCTAGAAAGTAAAAGTATCATTCAACAAATAAAGTTTGATGCTGTCTGGTACATAATGCATCATAAATCTCATTTTAGGCATCTATGTATATATGCATCTTTACATGTAGGTGTGTGTATCAGAGTGAAATATAACTATTATATTCTATTTTTCTAATTATTTCCTTTTAGACACAATATAAGATGGGACAAGAGAATTACACCTTCAGCAGTGACTTCATTCTTTTGGGACTGTTCTCTTCTTCCCAAGCCAGTCTGGTCTTCTTCTCATGTTTATTTGTCATTTTCATTACGAGCATAACAGAGAATGCACTCATGATCCTCCTTATCCGAGGAGACTCACGACTTCAAACTCCAATGTACTTCCTGCTCAGCCATCTCTCCTTCATGGATATCTTGCACATTTCCAACATTGTTCCCAAGATGATCACTGACTTTCTGTCAGGCAGTAGAACGATTTCCTTTGTGGGGTGTGGCTTTCAAATATTTCTGTCCCTAACCCTACTGGGTGGCGAGTGCCTCCTCCTGGCTGCCATGTCCTATGATCGCTATGCAGCCATCTGCCACCCACTGCGCTACCCAGTGCTCATGAAGGATGCTGTCAGCAGGCTCATGGCTGCAGGGGCCTGGCTGGTTGGAACCCTCAACTCCATAGTTCACACAGCATATGCGCTTCACTTTCCCTTCTGTCACTCTAGGGCCATTGATCACTTTTTCTGTGAAGTTCCTGCCATGCTGAAGTTGTCCTGTGTAGACACATCACATTATGAACGGGGAGTTTATGTCAGTGGCATCATTTTTCTGCTGTTGCCTTTCTCCATGATCTCTGTATCTTATATACAAATTCTACACACTGTGTTCCAAATGAATCCTCAGAAGCACAGAAAAAGTCCCTTTCCACCTGTTCCTTCCACATGGTTGTGGTCATAATGTACTATGGACCCTTTATTTTCACATATATGAGACCTAAGTCATATCACACACCTGGTCAGGATAAGTTCCTGGCTGTATTCTACACCATCCTCACACCCATGCTTAACCCCATCATCTACAGCTTTAGAAATAAAGATGTGATAGCTGCTGCCAGAAATATGTTTCAAAGTATATTTCTGAACAAAAAATGAGTAAAAATTGCTACCATTTTGTACTTCTACTTTCTCCATAGGCAATACTTAGGAGTATTCATTACATTTCCCTGGGAAAATGTTATTTCTTTCTTTCCAAAGAAGTATTTTGAAGATTGTTCATAGTAAATTATCATAATAATTAGTTTTAAAAACACACCTCTCTTTCCTTCTTAAATAGTACGAATCATAAGATGAATTTACAGCAGATAAAAGTCTCAAAGCTTTGAATTGTTCTTGCTAAAATTGTAAGTATGTAAAGGAATTGTCTTTTAAACTTCAATCACATACCTATTATATGGAAAACATGAGTTCATGCAAAGTTTGTATTTTTATGAAACTTTGTAAAAAAAATTTGAGTTAGGGAAGTAATATATTGTTTAACAAAATTCTTTGAACTGAACATCATATTTATTATTAACACAATTATTTATTTATATATTTTTATTATCTTTAAATAGTAACTTCAATTCAACAAATCAGTTTATAAAATTATGTATCTGAATCAATACTGCCTTTGCATCATTCTCCTCCCCTCTCCCAGCCCCACCCATCAACTTCAAGTTACCTGGTTACATTTTCACATTTGAACATTATTATTGAATATTATAGCTCCTTTTTCTCTCCCTTCTTCTATGTATTTGTATGGGCCTCTCTCCTCTTGATCTCATCTACCCCAGGACACATATTCTAGCTTCCACCTTCCTGGTATTCACTTTGTTCAATAATGTATAAGTCTTCCTAAAATTTCCTGGTATGGTAAAATTTTGGTACTTTTTCTGTGTTTCAACAAGAAATAGTTACAGTGGTTTGAAAGATACGTGTTGTTTTGCATATGTATTTGTGGTGGTGTAAACATTTCTGGTAATTTATATTGAAAAGATTGTAAAGGAGAAATATTTATTTTGAAAATTCTTTCAAATTATTTTATCAATGGCAAAATTATGAAAATGTATTTAAAATCTAGAAGTTTGAGTTAATTATGTCATATCCAGTATTTTTAATGCTTCATACTAAATAAATTTCATACAATTCATCATTTAAAACAGAATTATTTCATATGAAGTTCATTTTGTAAAAATCATGATTTTTTCTTTCACATTCAAAATTTATAAAACTATAAAATATATTACAGAAAACGTTTTTTATATTTGACATCATGTTTATATATATATATATATATATATATATATATATATATATATACAGGAAAACAGACACAATATTTTTTAAAATTCAGACTGTACATACCAAAACACTGAATGTATTGTGGAATGACCTAATAATGGAACATTTCTTACTATAAATAATACATACATAAATAATTATCATATGTTAATACAAATTTTCTGATGTTTAGAAGATTTTACTTGGTTTTAAACTGTAATCACTTTTTATTTTTGGTACAAAATAAGAGTGTAATTTTAGGAGAAAATGTACATAAGTTACTAGCATGATAATGAACCCATTAATATTCCTAGGGGAAATTCAAAATTAACTGAAAAAACTGATGTTAAATATGTTTCCTCATATAGTATATATTTTAATGCCTGTCTTTACTGCACACAATCTCATGGAATGAAAAATGAAAGGATCTGAAATCAAAATATGATATTGTGGTTCCAAATAAAAGTCATTGTCTAGCTAAGGACAAGTTAGAATCTGTACATCTATAGATGTTTTCAATTTTGATACCCACATGAAATTTTTAAAAATACTGTGTGTTGTGTTAGAATTAAATTTATTTTTCTTACCAGAATTACAAAACCATTCCCAACTAGAGTGGTGGGAATACAACAATATTGACTACATTTTTCATTATATATTCCCAATTTTCTTTACCAACTTCCATAATTTTGGACAGATAATTTTTCTTAATTAAGGAATAACTATACTTCATTTTGTTTAGAATTGAAGTGCTTTCTTTATTGGATTGGTAGATAGAATAGATATTGCCCTTGCCATACTCATTGGCCAAAGGAATATTTAATCTTACAGATTTGAAATGTAGTGTTCCTTCATTGTAAACCAATAACAAAACCACTGTGTAATTTTGAATAACTACAATTACAAATAAAATTGTCCTGTTTCAACCTCTTGCCTCATGAACCCAAGAGGAACCAAATGATTGAAGATAGACTAATCAATTTGATTCAGATCTGGGATATGTGTGATTTGAATATAGTTCTCTTTTGAACTTTAGCATTCATCACTCAAATCAGTAATAAAACATGGAAGAAAACATATTAAATGCTCATAGTTTGAAACAGTGAACGTAGCTACTTTTAGGATTACATTTTCTAACTAAGCTTGAAAGAACAGCTCCACATATCATCATGATTTTAATTAATATACTGAAGTTTAGAAAACCAGGTTACCTAGTGCTTTCCAAGCTAGTACCATGCAATATCCTCTACCAGGTTTTTTCACTGTGGTATCAAGACAGATACTCATGGAAGAAGCCATTTTCCCATTCATAAATTTGATATTCTACTGAGAGATCATATATTAGATGACCATATACATAAGGCCCACTATCCTAATTTGGATCTTCGTCTATGTGTTCCAGTGGACCATGTGAATAACATAGGCCTGGTAAGAGACCTAGAAAGGAGTTTCTTAGGCAATTTTCACAAGAGTAGATATGAAAAATTTCCATAAACTCCAAAGATCAACAATAAACAATCTGTATGTATTTATGAATTATCTACTACTAACTTGACAACAATGGAACTCATTGACCAAAGTTTGTGCTTAATTTTATTTCCATGATAGTAATTATATCATATTTCCATAATAGGAGTCACTAATATTTATTCAGTACCATTTCAATAAATAATATACCCTCATTTCTTCCCATGATCAAACACTCCAGGACATAATAATGCTAAATGTTCACTTCTTTGCTTTAGGACTGTTCAATTAAAAATGTTCTCTAAAGAAGTGGACCAAAGTGTTCAGAACTGAGTTGATATCCAAATCAGGAACATAGTTGAATTGACTGAGGAAATGCGTCCTCCCTGCAGATTGTCCATGGGGATCAATTAGAGGAGAAATAGAAACATCAGAATATCCTGGCTTGATGATATAAGGTTTTGCCTACACAAATTCAACAACTTGCTCTTTGGTCTTCTTGTGAAATATCTTTTCCCTTTATCCTTGTTCAAAAAAAAGCTGAGGAAGACATTTTAACAAGAAATTTATATGCACATATTTCAGAGGATTGTAAAAGGTTTTTTTATTTCTCTTTCTGGTTTCAGCATTGGGAAAATGAGTAGTGATGGAAGCAGGAAGTCAATTTATGCCCTATCTTATTCTTAAGTATGTCTTTACTGGGATTTTGGCAGAGTGTTGCGGGAGAATTTTTTATTCAATGCAGTTTGTGTTGATCAATGACATAATCTTGCTACATCCCTAGCAGATGTTGTGAGCAGAACTTTGTGTTGTAACCTTGTGAAGAATACAATGGACCAGCTGGGACTGGTGTCATTATAAAGCTATTTCCTTACAAACTAAAGAAGTTAAGGCAAGGTGAGTATAAATGAAACCATTAAGACATACTAGTTTGTGTTATCTTTACCAAAGGCAGATTTTTGTAAGTTGTGATTTTGCTGTCATGTAAAATCTATTCAACTCAAGAGAGAAGGTACAGTTCTATAGGGAATTTAAAAGCTAAAAGTCATTTTGATATACAAAAGAGATTTAATCTATTAGAATCCTACAATGTGCCATTGTTCAAGACTGTGATCTTAACTAAGATACTGAATTGCTTGGTGCCGGAGACCTGTCAGTGTTTAAGCTATGGACTGGCAAAAAAGACTAACACTTCTGGAGGACTGACTAGATGCTAGCTATATTTTCATTTGCTAGTTTCATTTTACAGCTGTCCTATGACATTGTTGAATTGACTTAGCTGAGACAAACTAAATTTTTTCTAATTAGACTTGAATTCTCTTTGTGTTTTATCTAAATATGCATTGCTTGATACTTTTGTTAAATAATTTTAGGATCATACACTTGCAAAGCTTAAATATACTAGATTTTGCCAAATAAGGGATTTATTTCACCTCCACCTATGTAAGCAGTGAAGCTTTGAGAAAAATAAGAGACTGCATTTGGACCTACTTTGAGGTTATAAGTATTGACACTGGTGGTTGGTGAAAGTCTGATGAGGTCTCTCTAAAGTTGTGGGCATTCTATTCAGATTTATACAGGTGTTTGTTTTTGTTTTTGTTTTTTTTTTGATGGTCATGGGGCTTGAACTCGGGGCCTAGGCATGGGCCTGGGCATGGTCCCTCAGCTCTTCAGCTCAAGGCTAATGCTCTACCACTTGAGCCACAGCCTCACTTCCAGTTTTTCTGAGTGTTTTGTTGGAGATAAAAGTCTCACGGACTTTTGTGCCTGGGCTGGCTTTGAACTGCAATCCTCAGATCTCAGCCTCCCAAGTAGCTAGGATTACAGGTGTGAGTCACTGGATCCTGGCAGGTGTTTGTTTTTGAAAAATAGAAAATAATTTCCACATAAATCACAAAGTTAAGAAAACTAGAAGGGATTTATTTGGCAAGGCAGAAGAAGTTAAAAGGATCCTCTAGTAGGTAGATTCTGGAAGTCTCCAGGGAGACATACAACCAGCTTGTTTGCTAGTAGGGATTTTTTTATGGTGAAAATGGAAGCAGTTGTTCAAGTCTTTGAAATAAGTGTCTATCTAAAACACTAGGGTTACTTCAAACACTCCTGCTGCTATACCACCTTGACATGATCAATTTGGCTGAGAAGTATTGACATAGTTGTTTGTTATCCTTCAAAATCCTTTTATACAGGGATGGTTTAAAGGAAGTGTTCCCTGCTAAACAGGTAGATTTCCTTAAGATAAAATAGTTTGTTTCTTTTCAAGTACTCCTGTAATAAAATTCATTTTCACATTATTTTCAGAATAAGGATACTTTTTTAGCTGACTGTTATCCACTTCTTAGGCACAAGAATTATATGGGCAACACCAG